TTGAGAGTTGAATGAGAACGTGACGGCCATCTAGCGAGCCAAATTTCCAACTCCCTGTAAGCTTATCAAAATGGTTTCTAATAATCTCAAGCTTGGGATTTCCATTCGAAAATTTCTCAACAAGAGTATATCTATATGTTGAAGCCAATATACTTGTTTCCTCATCAGTGAGAAACAAAGCGTATTTGTCATTCTTTCTTCCCAGTATTTAATAAATGTATAACCACCTCTAGATTCATGTGCATCATGAAATTCTTGAGGGGAAAAACAGGAACCACCTGCTCCGGGAGTAGAACCTCTGGAGACAGTCGCCACATAACTTGGGGCCATTCCCCCAAATCGAAACCAAAAACAGGGTACGCAAATCTCGAAAGCAGGCGAAAAAGGCCACAGACTGCGACCGGGGAAGAAGGCTGCGACCGGAATATCGCAGCGTAGGTAGCACACGAGAACGCAGTTTGCAACCGGGGGCGAAGGCTCGGCCGACGCACTCGAACGCAGACGACGATGAAACAGACAACGACAGAGAACGACGCGACTAAGGACGTGTGAGTCTGCGTCCGAAGCCTACGGAACAGTAGCACAGCGAGGAAGATGGAGTGAAAGTCGGAGGCTAATGTTGGGTTTCGCCCGATATAACTTTTTAAATTAATAACTAAAAAATAAACAAAATAACCTCAAATGAATTCCTTCGCATTCAAATCTTAAAAACTACAATTTGATTTACAGAGAAAATATGAAAAATCAGATTTCTTACCTAAATCCTGGACTTCTTTTTTCTCTTCTTCCATTCTTCTCTTTCCCCTCTTTTCTTCTTCCTCATGTAACTTTTATTTTTTAACTGTTTGCAAAATAATTTAATCACATGAAAGTTTGATTTTAGAAAAATACGAAAATAGATTTTTATAATTTAATTTTGAAAAATGCGACATTTTTGCTCTTTAGGGTTTTATCTGAAGAATCTTGCTACCTCCTACTATTTCAATCTATGTATGTGTTGTATATTTTTATCGAGGTAAAATTTAATTCTCTAATTTAGAAAATTATCTAGCACGCAACAGAGACAATTTTTTTTTTCTTTTTTTAAAATATGCTCTTTTATGTATTTTGATTGTTTTTATTTTTTATTTGAAAATAATTTGACTTAATTTTAAAATACTCAAAATAGTTTTTAATAGTTTTTAAAATTTTTAAACAAATTAATTTACGTTTAACATGTCAAATATTTTTTATTTCCAATTAAGATATAAAAAATAGAAAACTAAAATTAAAATAGAAATACAAATTAATGTGGCACCAAATAAGCCCCTAAGTACATAAGATAAAAACTTAAAAGAAAAATTATTCACCGGAGCAAATGCTACTAGTTTCTTTTCTTTTCTTGTTGAAACTATTGGATGAAGGATACTTGTCAGATTTAAAAAGGATGTCCGGACCTTCCAAGAGGGAGAAAATTGTGAAGATGAGAAATTTAAGTGGTAAAATTAGAATGGTTGATGTTAAGGGGCTATGGATGTTCATAGCAAGATAGGCTCCGAGGACATAAAACAAGGGTGGGGTAAGCATGTCAAGCAAGGAATATGAAAAAAAAAAAAAAAAGAAGCAAGGATTTGGGAAAATATATTCCATAAATTAAAAATCTTTGAAGTTATTTTTTGCGTTGGTTCAAACTAGAACACATGTTGCATAAACATATACATTATTTAATGTTCACTACAAGATTTGTGTTGCATAGCTATAAGCATCAATGCCAGTTGCACGCAATTTAATTTAGTAATTGGGTTTGGTAAAGATGATTATGGACTCAAACATTGTGATCTTATGGATTGCTGTGACAATTAATCTTGAACGGGTTTTTGTTTGTAATAGCTGTTAGTAGTCATGATTGCTTGCTAAACCTTTTGCCATGAAGCAATTAGTGCCTATTATTTGTCGGACTAGCCCTTTGGCCATTAATTATTTATCATTAGAAAAAATTTCTTTTTGTAAACATGTTGGCAATCATTATATGCCAAAATTTATAAAGTGGTTGTTCGTGTTAGCCAGCTTTCTTAATTTTATTTGTTGATGAATTTTTAGCAGTCAAATGGTAGGATCGTCATTTTGTGTTTGTTAGACTGTGTTATGATAATTTTTTATTTTATTGTCCACCCTTCAAGATAGCATCACCATTGCTGTCAATTATGGTTGCCTCTCTTTCTCTATCATTATTCATTTGTCAATTGATAAGTTCATGGGGAAGACAAAAATAAGGTACCCAAATGCGCTCACGTTTTTAAGTATTTTTTATTTCTTAAAGATTATAGATATATTTTTAATTTTTTTTTTTCAGAATAGATTTCCTATAACAACAACAACAAGCCTTTATCTCACCAAGTGAGATCGGCTACTAAATCATTTTTCTCCATTGCATCCTATTGAGTGTCATCTTTTCATTTAATTCTAATAGATTAAGATCATTTTTAATGCAATATGCCCAAATATTTTTAGGACTTCCTCTCCCATAATTTTATAGTGTGGCATTAACTTTATTCCTCTATTATTTGCACATTCTTGTGCATCTCTTTTATTCTTAAAAATAAAAACCAAAATACATTTTCTCCAATCCTCAGACATCATTTTAGTTTTTAAAATAATATTAAAGAGTTTAGCAATCCAAGAAAAACCCAAATCTCCTAAATATTTTCACACTTCAATTAGGATATCATCTGATTCTCTACCTTTGGTTTTCTTCAAAGCCTCATTAATTTTTTTTTTCTTACTAATATGATAGTAAAAATAAAACTTTTTATTATTAATAACGATATTAAAAACATTACCGTCAATTAAATTTCCAGAAACTTCATTAAAAAGTTTATCAAAATAGTTCACTCACTTATGTTGAATAGTTCCTGTAAGAAAAAAAGATTTCCTATGAAAGAAATAAGACTGCAATACATATTGCAATTTGTGCTAATCAAAGAACACTAGTTCATAGTGGGCATAAGGAGAAATATGATATGGGGAAACAGGGGTGCCTCGAAGAGAGAGAAATTTGTGTAAAAATGTGATGAATAGTGATAATTTTTTTTTGTTTTTACTATTTAATATGATTATTTCTAAGTATGTTTTTTTTTTTCTTTTATTTTGTACATAACATACATAATTATATTTGCGATAACATCAAAGATTTTTTTCGCAGTAGCAATTATATTAAAACTATGCTAAATAAGATTAGTTTCTTATTTTGATAAGTTCTATAATATAATCATAGTTTGATTATTAAGAAAACATTAAATCCCTGCACTATTTATAAGGATTCATTTTAATCCATACTATCTAATTTGTCCAATATAGTCCTTCGACTTCTTAAATTTCATTTAAAATAATCTTTCTGATACTTCAATTTTGATTCATTATAATTCAACATATGGAAAACTTTGAATCTTATTTTAGAATTGAAGAGACAAATTGAACACATCTATAATTTGGAATTAGAATGGAAAAATATAAATAATACATGGACCATTCTGATTTGTCTTTTTTATCATGCATGTTATGAATCCTTCGAATCTCTTTAAACTATTTACAAATCTTATAATAGATAATTGCCAATCGTCTCTCCTAATAAACATTCAAACGATTAGGCCTAGGATGATCCCACTTCAATAGAAAATTTAAAGAAAAAACTATTATAAATAAAATAATAATGAATTAATAGACAAAATTAAACACATCTACAACAACAACAACAACAACAATCTTTTATCCCACTAAACACATCTATTATTTTGAATTATAATGGACAACTATAAATAATACACGGACCAGTCTGACAATGTTATTATTTTTTAATAAAAATTTGAACCTCTTTAAATTATTTGCTAAATTTTATGATTTACAATTTTCCAATTGTCTCTCCTAATTGCCTTCCAAATAATTGAGAGCTCGCATGATCCCCCCTTCGACCTTCAAATCATAATAATTTTATTTTATCTATCAAAGATGGAAAAAAAAATTCTTTATTATTAACTTTGTGACCATTTTTGGAAAATTAAGCATTAAACATAGTCATAATCATTGAAATCCAGGAGTTCACATTGAACACCATAAAATCTATTCTGCCAAGAATATATTTATTTTTACTTGCATGTTTTTTTTTTTAACTAAACATCATTTTATCAACAATTTCTGGTTTTGGTATAATGTTTTCAATTTGCTTCTTATTCTCAAGTAACAGTTACATAAATTATAATACAACAGAGTTAGAACATGTCTCAAACATATTATATTCTAACTTATAATTCATAGTTATGAGATGTTGATAATTTTGTATGTTCTTTACCATCTCAAAGCTGTTCAGTATCACTTAAGTGTTTTTATATGCTTTTGAGTTAGGAGGTTCATCACTTGTTCTTTTTTTTTTCTAAAATAAAGTATATTTTCTTTTGTTGAGAGGTCATCCATTGGTTTATGGTGACTCACCCTCTATCAGGTGATTTGGTTTAGCCTTAACATCTTAAGGTTTCTCCTACTATAATGACATATTGCTTATTAACTGTATATATAGATAATAGAGCACAAGTATGATTCTTTTAATTGAGAGTATTCTTAAATATCTCTCAATGTGTAATTTACTATAATGGCACATTCCTATGTGAGTGTTTATACCCATAACAAAAATAAATTTGATTCTCTAGTTATAAGCAAAGGATTTTTATGAGATATTTTCCTAGAGATGGCAACTCAGGATGGTCTGATTATTTTTGGCCTTTGTTCCTGACTTAAAAGTTATGAGATATTTTCCAAGCCAAGTCCAATCCATGAAATGCTTGGTTCGACTGGACTGGACTTGCAGTCCAATCTATGATTAATGTAATGTTTGTCATTTCATATTTTGATTACTTGATTTGTATAGGCTGAAGTTATGAAAATTTTGAGCTAACTTTCTTTGGTTTAATATGCACTTAAGCATCAGTATAACTTTCATTGAGGGTTTTTCTTTGACATATCTTTTGCAGATATACTGTTTTTTCATTTGGATTATTGGTTACTCCTTTGTCAGCAATTTGTGCGTTGGCATTGCAGGTATTTTGTTTACAGTAATATTATTACCTTGTGTTTCCTCTAAAACCTTTGGCTACTGCACATGATCAATTCTCCTGGGTTTAGAAACTCAAGGTTATGCTGTTAAACTTGCCCTGTTTTTATTCTGAACAATAAAACAACAACAAATATGTTAATATTGTTTATCCCCTCAAACCAAGAGAGGTAGATCCGGTAATCTTGATTACGTTATTTCTTACTAAATTTTACTTGCTTGCAGAATTTTGTACTCCAAAATATTTTCACATTTTTCTTGATGGCTGTGTTAGGTGTCCTGGCATTTTTTGCAGAGGTACGCTTGACCTACTATTGTTCCAATTTGATTATTTACTCGTCTATCTTCTTTTATTTGTTGAAGCCCTGAACAATTTAAGACCTTGATTTATATATTATTATGTTGCAGGTATCTCTAGCTCGTGGACTTCAACTCGAAAAGATGTGCAAAGCCACTAATATGATATACGTACAGGTCTGTTTCTCCGCTGTTGTTCTCGAGATAAAACTGGATATTGGAGAATAATTAAGATGCCTTTTAATTTAATACTTGATATTTTGAAGTGTTAGAGCCTGTTCGGGTTCTTTTTATTATTATTTTGCTTACATATTTCAAAACATGTTTATTTTTAAGTTATTTTGTTTGTATTTTAATTTCTTGTTTAAAAAATGATAATTTATTCTTAAAAACATTCAAAATAAATTTTTGATATTTTGAGTGTCTTAAAAAATAAGAATATTTCATTTTAATAAATCAGACACATTTTGTTTCAAATCAGAATATAAGTAAAATAAAAAAACAAAAAATAGAAAACAATATGCATTTAGTAAATACATATATTTTGGTGAGTTTTTGTTCTTGCATAATTTGGTGTTGATGGGTTTAAATATAGTACAGCAGTTGATGTGGATTCGGCATCTTTAGTAAAGATTGTTGTCCTAAGCTATTTGAATATACCATCAGAACATCAACTAAAAAGAAATTGAAATTATGTTTCCACAACAATAACAACAACAACAAGCCTTTTTCCAAATACGTGGGGTCAGCTACATGAATCATTTTTCTCCATTACATTATATTGAATGTCATATTTTCATTTAATTCCAATAAATTAAGATCATTTTTTATACAATATGTCCGAGTCTTTTTAGTTCTACCTCTGTCTTTCGTAACATAGGTCGAATCTAAAACATCTACTCTCCTAACCGGATCATCAGGTGGTCAACTTTTAATGTGACCAAACCATTTAAGAATACTCTAATTTTGTCTGCCACAGAAGCTACACAAACCCTATCATGGCTATATTCATTTCACATTTTGTCTCTTAGAGTAAAGCCACTCAACAACCTAAGAATTCTCATCTCAGCAACACTTAATTTTATGCTTCTCCTTTAAAGGCCAACATTTTGCTCCACAGAGCATTGCAAGTCTTACCACTATCTTATAAAATTTTCTTTTCAGTCTAATTGGTACTTTTTAATTACACAATAGGCTCGAAGCATTACTCTACTTCAACCAACTAACTCTAGTTCTACTAATAACATCCTCATCTCTATCACTATCACTTTGAGCACTAGACTCAAGATTTTTAAAAGAGTCAAAAAACCTTTTAATAATTTGATCACCCAAAGTTACAACTCTATCAATAGAGCCACTACTACTTAAATTACATTCCATGTATTCATTCTTAGTTCTAGTCAATTGAAGGCCTTTAGACTCCAATGTATACCTCCATAATTCATGTTTTTCCTGAGCTCTTTCTCTATTATTTCCCACAAGAAGGATATCATCAGTGAAAAGCTTGCACCAAGGTACATCCTCCGATAAATTTTCAGTAAGAACATCCATAACTAAAGAAAAAAGATATGGGCTTAAAGCCAATCCCTGATGTAATCCAACTGAAATAGAAAATTATTTGGTCAATCCTCCATCTTTTCGAACACAAGTAACAACTTTCGTATACATATCTTTAATGACTTGAATATACGTCATGTCAACACACTTCTTCTCTAGAACTCTCCAAAGGATATCACTTGGATCCTTATCGTAAGTTTTTTCTAAATTAATAATAATCTAATGTCAATTCTCTTTATTCTCTCTGCACTTCTTCATCAAACTTCTCAATAAATGTGTAGCTTCCATAGTAAACTTACTCGGCATAAATCCAAGCTTTGTACTACGTCTTAAACTATGTTCAATTATTCTCTCTTATAATTTTGAAGTATGACACATCAATTTAATTTCTCTATAATTTGCACACTCTTGTGCATCCTCTTTATTCTTAAAAATGGGGACCAAAATACTCTTCCTTCACTCGTCAAACATCTTTTAGTTTTTAAAATAATTTTCAAGAGTTTAAAGCCAAGAAACTTCCAAATCTCCAAAATATTTTCACACTTCAATTGAGATATCATCAGGTGCTACAGACTTTCCACCCTTGGTTTTTCTAAAGCCTCCATAATTTCTTTTTTACTAATGCGAAGGTAAAAATGAAATATTTTATTAGTATTAACAATATTAAGATCACTAAAGTTTATCGTATTTTTAGAAATTTATTGAAATGTTTATCAAAATAACTCGCCCACCTATGTTGAATATCTTTTTCTAAGAAAAGTTCCTTTTGATTTTCATCTTTAATGCACTGTACTTGAGTTAAATATTTAATTTTTTTTTCTTTATTTGGCTAGTTTATACATATATTTTTAACCCTCTTTAGTATGTAATCTATTATAAAGATCACTAAAAGCAGAATTTTTAGCGTCACAAATTATTCTCTTAAAATCCTTACAAACATTTCTATACTTTTTATATTTCTCTAAAGCTTTAACTTCTGATCCAGCTTTTATAACATAACTTTTTATATTTTATCTTTCCCTGCACATTTTTTTTTCACCACCAAATTTTTTCTTTTGATTCTCCAAGTATATTTATTGTCACTTGTTTAATAGTATTTGTTATCTTATCTCACATAGAATTTGCTTTTTCATGAACATCCCAAATCTCAAAATCTTGAAGTTTAATTATAAAATAATTTAATTTTTATTTTTTAGGTGTCCCATCTAATTCTATGACAATAGTTTCTATTATTCTTTATTTTACAACTCTTCATCTTAAAATCTATAACTAATAATCGATGTTGAGTATTTAAATTCTCACTTGAAATGATCTTACAATCTTTACATTATTGACGATCTTATCATAAGAAAATAATCATTTTGTGTTTTATTAGATCTATTCTTATAAGTAATAATATGCTATCTCTTTTCTTGAATAAAGTATTAACAATAATAAAATCATACGTTAAATTAAAATATAATCTGCCTCTAAAATCGTTGCCACCATGAATATTTCTAAAGTCTTCTATCACTGTACCGACATATACATTTAAATCTCTTCCAATAAAAATTCTTTCTTTAAGACGTATCATTTGTATTATTTCTTCTAGATAATTCTATAATTTTTCTTTGGAAGCTATATTCAAACTTATTTGATATTTGATAAGCATAAATACTTATAATATTAAAAATCTTAGTATCAACAACAATCTTAAGAACTATAATTTTATATCCAATTTTATTACTTTTTATAATATTATCTTTCAAACTCTTATCTATAATTACACCTACATCATTCTAGTATGGTTTTTAGTTGAATACTAAAGTTTAAAACATAATCTATCAATATCTTTTGTCTTTTCTCCAACCCATTTAGTGTTTTAAATGCATAAAATTTTTCACTTTCTACGAATCATAATATCAACTAATTTCATTAATTTATATGTGAGAGTACCTATAGTATTTCAAGATCTTATCCTAATATTATTTTCATGGACTAACTTTTTTACTCTTCTTCGTTCGTAATGTGGGAACCCTTGCATATTTGACACTACAGACGGGGGCCGGTGTAGCGGCCTTTGCACATTTTTCACTATATTCAGGTCATACAACTTTTTTGCTTCCGAGAGACGTCGTAGCATTTACACATTTATAAAAATGATTTATATCATGATTTTTCAACAAATTTTACGTTTGTTATCGACTACCTAATGCAACCCTTCACTTATCATATTTGGGGCTTGAGACCCGGCAATGACATTATTTAAAATTCTTGAAATTTTGTTTCTAAGATATGCTAAATTATTCATCATTGCACCACTTGCACCAGATGAAGTTCGACAATTAAAATTCTTGTATAAAATTAATATATATATATATTTCCGTAGCCTGGAGCGTGTCTTACCTGGGAACTACAGCTTCTTTTAATAAGCTCATTGGTTGTTTGCTTATTTTGGGATCCGTCTGCTGCACTTTGTATTTTGGACCTGAGAGACCAGTGCTAACTGAATTGGATTTGTTGTGATTAATTTTTCCAATCTCCATGGGTCAGTTTTGATTTTCCGGTGCATTTTTGCTTGTAATTTCTGTACAGTGGCGTCAGCTTCGCCTGTGACAGATGTTACTATAATGCGGCTAATATGTTGTAAAGATTGATTGGTGTGGAAGGAATTAAAAGAATTTTGAAGAAATTTTAGCTTTATCTTTATTATTATTATTATTATTATCACTCAGTAGTTGTTCGATTGAAGAAAAATCAGTTTTTTCTTTAAAAAATATTGGTTAGTTTATGAATTGTTTTTCGTGTGTTAGTGGCTATAATGTTTTGTTATTTTTATTTAATATTTAACGATGGGGTTGGATGTAGAACTGTTTGTTTTTATGTAGGAAAATTTAAATACATTCCACACAATTCTCATTTATTTATATATCTAACACCCAAAGTCTGATATTTAGATTGTTAACATCGTGGTGTTATAAATCTATGCATGAAAAAGGTATGTTTTGGTCTTAAAATGATTGTGGTGATGGCATTTTTGATATGATCTTGAAAATTTGAGTGATATGCATATAAATATGAATGTGTAGGTGTTAGATGCCTATATATGTAAATAAATGAAATTGTGTTGTATGTATGCAAATGATTCTTTTATTTAATATTTTTTCGTAAAGTTAATTGTATTGGAACTATGCACAGTAACTTGAAAGTAAATTTTTTTATTATGATGAAATGTTTTTTAATGTCATTATATTAATGTATAGTGCAAAAAAATACAAAAAATGGGATTAATATATCCCAAGCATGAAATAATTCCAGCATTTTTCTTATTATAAATAAGCAATACTAGAATTAGAATGTAAATGATAATGACATAATTGAAACAATTTAAGAATTCTAATAATTTCCAAATACAAAGTTAGCTTGTAATTTAAAATTCATTTTCATAAATCAGACATAATACATCATTTTTAGTCAAAATTAAAAGCCTTTTGAAAAAAATAGCAGAGGTGAATATTAAAGTGAGAGTAGATCAAGCGTCTCGTTAATGTAATGAGATGATTTTTTCTCTAGTCAGATGGTTACACTTGTATTTTTTTGGAAGAATTGAAACATTCAATTTGCATTTTTGTCATTGTGCCTAAATAACTAAGAATAATCCAAATTAAATTGACACCATGGTCATTGTGGCTTAA